TTAGAGGATGTCTGTGTCATGTTAGTGAAGGTCAGAGAAGGGCACCCCTTTCCCACTGGAGCGTTCCTTCAGTATTCCTGGAGTAAACGTTTCCTAAACTGAGGCTTACAAGATGAGTAGCAGTTGTCCAGGCAAAAAGAAAGTAGAATCAACAGTCTAAGAAGAGGATTCAGCATGAATCTTCTCAAAAAAGCTTAAAGTCTTAAGGTGAAACTACCAGTAGCTCTAAATTAGTAGAACATCGCAAGAGAGAGCCTCGAAGGTCAGAAAGGGCTTACAAGGGCTCAGGTCAGAAAGAATCTTATTTGTATACCTGGCTAAGAAGCTCAGATACCACATAAGCTGTTTTTGCTCACTACATACAGTTAGAAAGATTTTTTTTTTCATTTCAATTCAGTGTAACATATAGACATTGAATTATAGAGAAGTACATCTAAATATAGAGACAAAGTTGTAGCTGGAAGGAAAAATTTCACAAAGCAATACTAAAGATGTGTGAGTACTTTCCTTTCTCTTATTTTTTGCTATTTTGTTTGTAATGTTGGTTGCAACACAAAATTGATTCACTACCTGCTAACTCATCATTATTGATGAAAGTGGAAATCATTGAAGGCTTTGAGCAAGAGGACATGTTTAGATTTGCGGTAAAGATTGCTCACACAAACAACTGCAGAGAGAATGGTTAAGAAGTAGTCTCTCCAGTATTTTATGCCCAGAATTTTATGCAATGGTGGAAATTGTCTTCATCTGCACTATTCAGTACAGTAGCCATGGACACTAGCCATGTGACTATTATGAGGAAGGAATGAAACTTTAAGTTTACTTAATTTTAATTGATTAAAATTTAAATAGCCTCAGGTGGCTAGTGACTATAGTATTAGACAGTGCAGTACTATACCACCAGAATTGTGTGACACTTTTATGCAAATTACAAAGGTTCATTGTCCAGAGTTCACATCAGAGCACAGAATACAAGCTATATTTTAGCCCCACTGACCTCCTTGACCAGCAAGGAAAGCTGGGAAAGAACAGGGTAAATATATTTGATAAGTTTGAAGAGAAGTTCAGCAGGATTTGATTGACTGAATGTAGGAGGAAGAGAAAGAAAGGCATCAAAGATTTATTCTATACTAAAGGCCACAGAAGCGTAGCAAAATATGATCATCTTCCCTTAGCCACAGTTTTGCTTTCTCCATTACCAGAGGTCAACCATGTCTCAATACATACAATATTTAGAGATGAGAGTAGAATCACGTATATAACAATTTCCACAGTACATTGTTATAATTGTCCTGTTTGATTATTTATTATTAATCTCTTCCTTGCCTAACTCATGAATTAACTATATCATAGATATGTATATATGGGTAAAAACACAGTATATACATAGTAAATATAGGGTTCAGACCTGTCCCCTGGTGATCTTAGAATGTATCACCCATGGATAAGGAGAGACAAATTGAACAATACATTTTGTCTTTATTTTGGGGCAAATTTGTCAAGAAAGACTCACCAGCCAATGACAGACAGATACAATTTTCAGGGCTAAGGAGAAATAGAGTTTGCAGGGAATGGGCAAGTCAAACCGCGAGAGCCAGGCTCCTCCTATAAATGAGCTCAATCTACATCTCAGGAACTGATAGTTCATCACCATAAACCTCCAGGTCCTACCTTTCGGTCACAAAGCTATTTTGTGGCTTTACTTGAAATACATGTTTCCCTTAGCTAGTCATTATATCGAGAACCCATTCTCACAAAATGGAACTTCCTCCCAAGACCCATCCTTTGTCTAAGAAGGGGCAACATACATCTCATCTGTGAAGAGATGGAAGGAACCCATAAAAGAATTTGTGTGCTCTAAATCCTGTTTGTTCTGTTACATAAAAGCCACATAATGGCCCTCCCTGGTGGCGCAGCGGGTTAAAGCACAGCACTAAGATGCTTAAGTCACTTCCGCCTGAGTTCGAGCCCCGCCTGCCTGGGAGGTGACCACATGGTGAGGCAGACCTCTCCTGACCCACCTGCTGCTCCCCTCAGCAGTGTACTTTGTCGATCTGCCTGTTCTGCTCCCCACTCTGTCTCTGGTGAATCCTCTCACCCTCTGCATCTCTGGCCTGTACCCAATTCTGGATGAATAAATAAATCTTAAAAAAAAAAGCCACGTTCCCCCCACCCCCCATTTAATCCTAGGGTAGCACAAAGTTATTTCAACAAAGGCTTACTGAACACCCTTTCTGTGTCAGACAGAACATGGACTTGTTTAGAAGCTGTGACAGTATAGAGACCTCTCCATGTGTTAACAGAGCGCAGGTGACCTGAGACCTGTGTTGTCTAGTCTAAGAATCATTAGTCATGTGCAGCAATTTAAATATAATTTAAATATACTTAAATAAAACTAAAAATTCAGTTCATCCAGTACATTCATCATATTTCAAGTGCTTAGTAGACTCACATGGCTAGTGGCTACTATGTTTGGACAGCACAGATACTGAACATTCCCATCATCATAGAAAGTTCTCTTGGACAGTACTGTTTTAGACAATATTATGCAACTGTAAGCAGTTAGAGAATACACCCACTTTAATGAGGGCAAAGGGCTTATTAAATCAACCAGCAATCACATGACAGTTCGTGAGGAAACCCAGAATTTTCTTGACAAGTTTGAGGTCCATTTTATAAGCAGTAAATAATCTATAACCTCCACATTCAAGCAGCTTTCAGAATTCTTTGGAAGTAGCATTAACCCTTCTGGACCATGGGATTACTTCTGTAGCACTGAATGACCTTCCTGCTTCTATTTGTATGTACAGATGTACTGATTGATAGTGCCAAAAATTATCTTATGTTCTCTCACGCTCTCTCTCTAAATTCTCTGTGTTCAAATTGTCTCTCCTTCAGTTTGCCTCCACTTCATACATTGCCCAAGCCCCCACCCAGACAGCTAGGCAGTCAGTCTCCAGAGAAAGACCACAAATACAAAGCATGTCACCAACAATAGGTCCCAAAAGTTCAAATAGACATCTGGATGAATTTTCTAACCTCCCCAAGTCAGATAAAGAAACCCAGTACTGAGGAAGGAAAAAGTGGGGGTAGTGAATTAGGGGACTGTGAGCTCAAAGAAGCTGCAAGCCTCCCCAGGAACCGGCACCACTCTGCAAACTCCAGAAGCCTCTCACAGACAGCTTCATTCTCTTTTTTCATCTGTGTGTGTTTAGGCTGTAATGACAAAAGGTGTCAGCCAGGTGGATATGACACTTCTCACATGGCTTGTAACCCTTCCAGCCCACACTAAAGAGACAATCTTTTTTTAGCCCTGCTAAATTTCATGCCCCCTTTTATGGGGAGGGAGGGAGCAAGAAGGATACTTGAAGTCTTGATGGTAATAGAAAAAGGAAATCTCTTGAACTATTATAAATTTGCCCTCAACCAATACAGTGTCTCCCACAAATGGGGAACAATGGGGAACTGTCATTCCAATTATATATACATTGAGGAACCTATAGCGCTTTGGGAGGGCCTGGACACTTGCCTTGGAAAATGAGGCACTTTCAGGAGGAAAGAAGCTTGAGGACAGAACATTCTAGACTAGCTGCTTCCAACTGCTCAGGTTTGCATACTTAGGGGGAAAGTATGCAAACATGGTCTTTGTGGGTGGCACATGGATCTGGACCTGTGACTGAGACCTGCACTTGGAAAGGAAAGACATGGAGTGGGAAGAATTGGAAGTGTAGCAGAAAGTAGTGGTTGTCCCCAGTCACCCCCATGTCTTCCTTGTTGGTAGAACTCAGAATTTATGCATGGGTGCATGGCCCTCAGGCTATATATTTGAAAGAGAAACCTTTCCCTGCCTAAGGTTTTGGCAAAGCTCCTGCTTCTCTAGAATCATGTCTGACTCCCAGTTGGTCTCTGCATGGAGCAGAGCTGGTGACAAGTTGTGTCATTTTTCAGTTCACAGGGCACATTACTGAAACACCAGTTAAGGCTGCACACAAGTAGACAGCACTGGGCTGCCAAGCATGAGGCTGAACCGCAAGTTCAGCTGGGGTTTCTCAATCAGGGCTGTGCCATCCACTTTGCCCTTTGCCCTAACCACAACTTGTGCCAGTTCCACAACCATTATGATACAAGTTAATGTAATAACTCACTCATTCTCTCTTCATGTATGTGTGTATTTTCATCAAATCACATAAAAGTGGTATTTACAGATAGTGGAAAGCACAGGTTTTAAGTACTTAAGGAGTTTTGAGAACATGTATACCCATGTAACAACCATCACCACATAAGACAGAGGGCGTGGCCTCCACCCCACAAAGTTTCCTCATGGCCCATCCCACAGGCAACAACATACTGTTTTCTAGCACCATAAACTCATTATACCGATTTTGAATTTTATTAAATGGAATCATATGCTATGTATCCTGTATGTCTGACTTTTTTGGCTCAGTAAATGTTGTGGGGTTTTCTCTTTAAGACTGTCCACATAACTGCATGAATTCGTAGTTCATTCATTTACAAAAATCATTCTAACAGGTGTGAGGTGATCTCTCACTGTGGTTTTGGTTTGCATTTCCCTGATGATTAGTGATGTTGAGCATCTTTTCATGTGCCTGTTGGCCATGTCTAGGTTATCTCTGGAGGAGTGTCCATTCAATAAGTTCTTTGTCCATTCTTTTAATCCATTTTGTTTTGGTTTTGCTACTGAAGTGTATGAGTTCCCTCTATATTTTGGATTTATTAACTTCTTCTTAGATAGCTTGCAAGTATTTTCTCCTATTCTCCAGGTTACCTTTTCATTTTACTGGTTGTTATTTACATCTTGATGGCTTGTACTGTGGTGTCATACCCAAAAACTCATTGCCAAGATGAAGTTCAAGGAGCTTTTTCTCTATTCCCTCTGCCCTCTGCCCACCTCCAGCATTCTGTTGTTTCAAGTCTTACATTTAAGTCTTTAATTCATCTCCACTTAATTTTGTAAGTGGTATAAAATAGTGATCTAACTTCATTCTTTTGTATGGGAGTATCCATGTTACAATGAAACAACTGATTCAAGGACTTACTGTAGTGTGGTTCACATATAAACCCCAGGCTACCAAGCAGATCTTGCTGTTTCATTGCTTACACATCATATTTTTTTTTTAAGATTTATTTATTTATGCTTACAGAACTAGGGTACAGGCCAGAGCTGTGGTGGGTGAGAGGATTCACCAGAGACAGAGTGGGGAGCAGAACAGGCAGATGTACAAAATACACTGCTGAGGGGAGCAGCGGTGGGTTAGGAGAGGTCTGCCACACCTTGTGGATCACCTCCCTGGAGAGGGGACTGAACTCGTGCTGCAGTGGCTTCGGAGAATTTCGTAATGCAGTGCTATAACCCACTGCATCACCAGGGAGAGCCCACTTACACATCTTTAGCTGCAAAAATACAAAAGCTCTCTGGAAAGTGGTTATATGTACCTATGGAGAAACAGCTCTGTCTTGCTCTCCACCACCCCTTCTCATGTGCTGCAAGAACTGCATGAGCTAACCTCCATCCCTGGCACCTCCTGCCCCATCCACAGAATAAACACCCAAAAAATTTCTTTTGAAGTATCAAAATGTGAATAGAAATTCAGCTCTATGGAATAAGATTAT